AATTACACCTGCTAAATCGAACACCAGAAGATCAATCTCTGGTGCAAAAGTATAAACGTGGACTCACTTTGACACCTTGTGGATGTTCATCACTTCAGAAAATGAGGCACAAGGGATCCAGGGCACCCGGGAACTGACTACCAGAATCACTGGACTCTTAAGACTAAGTGATGTGCCCAAGGTTACATGAGAAGTCAATGGCAGAATCCTGCTAAATCGAACACCAGAAGATCAATCTCTGGTGCAAAAGTATAAACGTGGACTCACTTTGACACCTTGTGGATGTTCATCACTTCAGAAAATGAGGCACAAGGGATCCAGGGCACCCGGGAACTGACTACCAGAATCACTGGACTCTTAAGACTAAGTGATGTGCCCAAGGTTACATGAGAAGTCAATGGCAGAATCAGGAACAGAACTCCAAAAATCCTGGCTCCCAGGCCTGTATCACTAGCAAATGCTCACTCTGTAGCATAGTCAATGAACATGAAAACAAAAGGAGTTGCACACCCTTCAATATACATCTGATGCATACATTTTTCAGCTGAAGTATTTTTTTATACCTGCATGCTCTATACTGGTTCCACTGGTAGGCTGCTTTGCAAAGCTTTTTCCAGGTTTCGACAGACTGCTATCAATCAGTTTTCCATCTGCATCAGGTTCTTTGAAAATATTACTAACATTAAAATGAAAAGTCATTAAAACTCATACCAATAAACCAAATTATTTTTATTAGAAATTAAATTTTCTGGCTCAAGAGGACCATTTTATGTACTATGTATATCAGAGGTGGGGAACCTAAGGCCTGGGGGCTGGATGCGGCCCCCATCTTGCCTGGATCCAGCCCCCAAGGCTCAGGGCTCCTTCCCAGCATTAGGAAGCCTGCACTGGCGCTCAGCCTGCCCATGGCCCTACAATGGGGGCTGAAGCATCTGCAAGCCTGGGCCCTTCTAGGTTCTGGTGTGAGAGGCGAATGTGGGGAATGTCTTTCTCCTCCTCAATCAGGGGCCACACGTCAATGACTTTTTGTTTTGTTTCTCACTTGTGTGTGGTCCCCAACTGACTTTTCTGTGGGTCAGCAGCCCCAACCCAAACAAGGTTCCCCACCCCAATATATATTATACAAAACTACCTGGCTCTCAAAAAGAAGTGAAAAGCAAATAAATAATTGAGTATGTCTGCCTTCCACCCACCCAGTTCACAAACAGAGCCCTTGACATTTGCTTGGCTAGAATGGAAATGGTGTTTCCTGTAAAGCTACAACACTCTGAGCATAGCAGACAATTGCATTTCATGATATTCATTATTGCCAATTTGTGCATTGCCATTACAGGTTGAACCTCTCTAGTCTGGCACCGTTGGGACCTGATGGGTGCTGGACCAGAGAATTTGAGGGACCATGGGAGGTCAATATTGTCTAGCAGCATTACCAACACTACCACGGCTTAGTGGGCTCTTAGAAGACATTTGTGGTAAATTAGAGCTATATCACATCACAGAACACTGAGCGCCAGGACTGGGGGCTATAAACAAACTTTATGGGATGGCGGGAAACTTGGCCACATGCATAAGTGGACATCCGGCTAACTAACATCATGCTGGATCACGGATGTTGCTGGACTAGAGAGTTTCAATATGTAGGTCCCATACCTATCATTCACCCAGTCAATTCAACCAGTAATGTTTTAACAAGTAACGATTGTAGAACTAGTCTCCTTTTTTAGCCTGTTTAAACCATCCTGGTGATAAATATTTGCGGTAGTGAATTTTACTTTACCTAATATTTTTTACAGAAGACGAGGAGGAAAGCACTTCTTCCTCTGGAGAGGGTGGAATGAAATCGAGGTGATCATCCTCCTCATTTCCAGTGTCATCATGAGTCTCATCCCATCCTTTAGACAGTTCCTTTGCTGAATGGCTATTCTTATCACTCTCTCTTAGTTTTTGTTTGCTATTACACTGTATTTTACTGAGAACTAAAACAAACAAAAATAGAGATATTGGGAATGAGTATAATCTTGTCTTCATTTTGGAAATAACCAAAGATGCAACTGAAAGAAAGGATTCTATACATTTCAAATGGAGTTCGTTATTTATTAAGTAAAATTCTCAACTTTAATAAATGGCATGGACCCTATTCCCACATCAATGTTCTGGCACACAGAAAACCAAATCCCTCCAAAATACTTTTAAATAGGTGACTTACTGGGGAATTTCAAACGAGAAAAATTGTATTTCTTCAAACACAAAGTCCATAAAATACATCTTGCATATTTTTATTACTACAAGTATCTTCTCAAGAACTGAACTTCAAAGCATTACGCAGTAGCTCCAGCTTCTATCGCTGAAGTGGAAAACTCACCTTATAAAAAGATGCCATTTCCATAGCATGGATTAGGTAGTCTAGATTTTTACAGTTTATGTATTCTTCCCACATTTGTAGTGGGAGGCAGAAGTTCCCAAAGGGTGCAGCACACAAGATTATCAAAGGATGCAAAGACCTAATGGAGGTGCACTGAAGGGCCAGGGTCAGCAGGCGACTCGATCCTGAATGTAAGTGGGTGTAAGAGCCAGGTTGATGCTCCACTGTCACAGCTCATCAGTTACCTTCCTCTTCTGGGGAAATACCAGGGAGCAGGGAGTGTGGAAAGTTGAACTATTGACTCCTTCCTGCCAGCAAGCGCCCCTGCTAGCCCCAACCCTTTAGTACAGTTCCAGGACACAGAACTTTGTCCTCTGCTTGAAATAGCCTGCACAAGGGAAGCTGATGGAGTTGTGCTCAAAGGACAGGGGTCAGCAGGGAACTCTGTATGGTAGGGGTCCAGTACTCAATGGCTGCACCTGTCTGGGCCCTACAGGCAAGGAGCTGGGGTTTCTCCCCCAGTCATGGCAACTCCATGTGCAACAGCCCTGAGCAGCCTTACTAAGCAGCTGCAGCTTAGAGGGAACTTTAGGCCCTACCAAATTCACGACCATGAAAAATCCATCATGGACCATGAAATCTAGTTTTTTGTGTGCTTTTACCAAACATTTTATCAGGGGAAGCCAGTGTTTCTAAAATTAAGCTGGGCGCTGAAAGCAGGGCATGCCAAGCCTCCTCTCTGCCAAAATCCCCCCGGGGTCTAGGAGCCCCCCATGTGCCAGCATTACCCCCCCGCCCGAGGCAGGCCAGAGGCTGCTCTGCATGTGCCAGAGCAGGGGGTGGCTCCCCCCCAAGCCAGTTGCTGCTCCTCTCCCTGATCCAGAGCCAGCTGCTCACCCCTGCCGACTCCAGCCCTGAGGAAGCTGGTAACCCACTTCCCTACCCTCAGCTGGTGCTCTAGCCCTGGGGAGTCTGGAGGCAGCCTCCCAGCTGCTCCTGGGGCAGGACTTGTACCCATAACCTGAGGTTCTGGAGTCTGATGCCTTATCCATTAGGCCACTAGAGCACCCATGCCACACCAAGACTTCTCAAGTCTCCCAGTGTATTCTCAAATGTTCTCTGAGACAAATGGCATGACAGACACCTCTCCTTTTATACTAGTATAGATTACAAAATGCATTACCTGTATGAGTTTCTTCTTTTTTGCCCCTTACAATAGTTTCTGTGGACAACTTCTCCCCATGAAGATCTTCACCTAAAAGTCTTTTACGATCATCAGGATCTGAAACATCAACACAAATCAAAGATTTGTTTGATAGAGCTAGCTGTTTGTCATTCAGTGATTTTTCCCCGTTCTCAGAAGAACAAGATTTTGACAGTCGTGACTCAATGTTCACTATCCTGGATGCCTTAGATGATCTAACTGTACAGGAATTGGATATCTGAAGAGTCTTGCTGGATTTTACAATCTGATTTTGGGGGGATAAAACCAATGGTTTTGAGTTGTTCTTTTGCTTTATAGATGTATCAAAGTCGTCTATGTCATCCCAGTCATCTTCTATAGTAATAACAGAGTCATTTGTACAATTGTGCTCGGCTTTCCGGGAAGCAGAATCACATGGGTTCTTGCTTACATTATCTTCCTTTCTAGGAGGTAAATTATTTGAAACTCGCTGGGAACATTCCAAAGAATTTAACGATATCCAGTTTGGACAAAGTTGTTGTATTTCCGGACGTTTTGATGTTTTCTCAAAGAAGTCATTGATTTTTATCTGATTATCCTTCAAGGTGGGCAAAGATGCAACCGATTTTGTCTGAGAAATATTAACATCCTTCTCCTTCAATGCAGAACTCTTTGTTAAACAGTCTATGGATACAGCATTACCTGGAGCAGTTTTCTTTTTGAAAGTGAAACATCTGCAAAATAAAATGTGTTTTTTCAGACGTTTTAACATTATAACATGCACTTTTTTGTAAAAAAAAAAAACAACAGAAATACAGTTATATTTCTAACATCACAATCACTACACACATACCAAATATCAAAATTGGGGTATAAAATCCCAGTTAAAAAGTTAACTAGTTAAACAGAATGTTAAACATTTCATTTAACCCATTAACTGGGATTCTGCGGGTAGGAGGCTGCTCCAGTCCAGCCAGGCCACCAGTTAACAGGTTACCAGTAAGCATCACATAGTAAGGCTGCCTCCTGGCCCCCCCCCCCCACAGGGACTACAGAATAGTCAAGTAACCAATAAGAATTCATGAGGTTAATTGACTATTCAATTAATCAATGTTTAACATCCCTAGTATAAAGCTTATTTATAAGTTTTATACTGCAGAGCCCACAGTGTGTGTAACCATATAACCGCTATGATTTTTTAGCGGTTACACAGTTACATTTTTTACATGAGTTTTTACATCCCTAACAAGAATCCAAACTAAGTGTTGACAACCATGCACTTTTGTTACTTTTGATAATGACCAGCAAGCTAGGCTGATACTTACACTGGTTTGTGTTTTGGAAGAGTTAGTTTATTGTGAGTTCCTTTTGCTGAATGAAGCTCTAGCTGCTGCTGGAGGTTGTTCTGTGGAAGAGCAGCCATACTTAAAAAAAACAAAAACAAAACAAAAAAAAGCTTATTTAAGGTACTGTATTAAAATATCAATGGCCTCAGTGGGTTCAAACTAAAAAGGCTTTTAGAAATTTTGCCACCTGTAAGCTATTTTTGTGGAAGTGTGACATACTGGGCACTAATGATTGCAAGTGTGGACAGTAAGGTTGCTAACAATCTTTGTCAGATTGTATATGTTGCTCCCCTAACAAGACCACAAAATTCATTGTATCACCACCATAACTGGAAAGGTTAAATGACTCAAGTAAGAAAGCTCTTCATCTTAAAAAAAATAAATAGATAGCATGCATAATAATAACCAATTTGCAACACTCACTATATTGTTAAATTCAAAAAAGAAAAAAAATAGATCTTTTCATGAAAGTTCAGGTATTAACATTTCTTAAAATTAGGTTCTACAGACTAGTTAAGCCAAATCTCAATATTGGAAAAGATTCTTGTCAGTGATCTGTTTTAAAATAAGAATTAATAAAATACATGTATGCTAATTGAAGAGTAAGCCAAGATCTATGAATGAAAGGACATTTGAGTTTGTTAAACTGCAAAGTGCTATGAAATCTTACCCGATGAAAGGTGCTAGGTAAATGTAAGTGATTACACAGCACATTTCCAATTCAAGATGTTACTAGTGAATGACTAAAAGCAAAGATGTCATCATGCCAAGTTGATATGGCTTTGACATTTATCCAATGTGGTTCTCATAAGAGCATCAATCCCTACAGGGTGTAGGAGAAGCTTAACATTACACGCAGGGTTTTCATTTTAGTGTATTTAAAGGTACGTGGATTGTTAATCTGGCTTGGAAAGGCATATGCAGAAAGGCCAGTTTAATGCCCCCTTGCAGAGGTGGGGAAGGGGCACAGCCAAGGAGCTGGTGGACTTCATGGCTCCTACCCTGAAGAGGGTTCAGAGACATGACGGGGGCAGCACTGTTGCCTTTGTTTTTAGGGGGTAACCCCCCCCAGCTTTCCCTCCCCCAGTCCCCTCTGCACTTCTCTCCACCAACCCCTCAGGCTCCCAGCCCTCCTCACCCCACTGCTCAGG